ACGCGCCACTATAGTGACTTCCGCGGATGTCATCTCTCTGAACGACGCGCCACTATAGTGGCTTACTCTAGTAGCTCACTCGGTCATCGTTCGAATCAAATAATCGTCTTCATATGCATTTTGTTTCACACTTCTTTTGTCTTCACATCGATTTACAACAGTCTACAGAGTGTCCCAAAAATGTCTCGCAATCCGAAAATGGCGGGTTCCTCGGATCATTTGAAGCAACTTCTTCCTTTACAAAAATGTTCTCCGAGGCACCGTTAACGAGTTATTAACGAAAAACAGTGACCAATAAGAATCGAGTACCGCTAACGCGAGGCGGCCCAGCCAACCAGCGCGCGAAGCCCAGTTCCGCTCATTGGCTCGGTCGCCTCGCGCCAGCCGAGCTCGCCTCTCATTGGTCACTGTTTTTCGTTAATAACTCGTTAATGGTGCCTCGGAGAAGATTTTTGTAAAGGAAAAAGTTGCTTCAAATGGCCTGACGAACCCGCCACTTTCGGATTGCGAGACATCTTTGGGACACCCTGTATATACAGTATCAGACTCTGTACAGTACACATCGGACTCTGCCGTCCAGAGAAATAGCCTCGCGCAGAATTCAGCCGTACCTAAAAGGTTAATCATTTTGCTTGGATGCGACGCATGACGGTGGAAACGTAGAAAGCATAGTTCGAAAAGTACCTAATTGTAAGCTCGATTGCAGGCTGCTTCTTCTCGACGGCGTTTGAAAGCGTACCGTTGGCAATGGCGTACTTGGTACCTTTCGATTACATTTTGATGATCAGTATGGGCCCATTTCTAAAGCTCAGGTACGTAGTTTCACGCTTGTACATTTTACGCGAAAGTCTGCCGATTTCCTGGTCGCCCGATTCGTTTAGGCTAACCCTAATTCGTCTAGCTCGCTGCCGATATACATCCGTTGGATAAAGTACGTTTCCTGGCTCCTGTACTCGAACGAAGCGCTTACCATACTTCAATGGAACGGGGTGCATAATATATGTAGGTGGTTTTTGTGGATTTGTAGATTCATAGATTTTTGAAATTTGTACCTGTACATGCCCGATAACGTTGATGACTTTAACCTTTAACCTTGACCACTCTTACGTTTTCGAAATGGTCGCAGCTTGCGAAACATTCGATCCTGAACTACCATGCATCACGGAAGGCCGAGGAGTATTAAGTCGGTATGACTTCGACGAGTCCAACTTTTCAACGGACATGGTGCTCATGATGCTCATGTACCTCGTCTTCCACGTTCTTGGTTACCTCTGCCTCTGGAATCGTTGCAGGCTAAAATGATCGGAAGATCGTTTCTCCGATATTTCCCTTCTAACATAATAAGTAATCAGCCAATAGGTAACGGATAATAAACAATAGTATTACCATCCATTTATATAATATCGTATATGCAATAATAATAATGATAATAACGACATATTACAAGTGTATACATTTTGTGTATTCGAAGTTCCATCCAGAATATTCTTAACCGTTAGAATCCGATCGGAAGCAGCTCAAAGAGTGACGAATACGACAAAACGTGTAATCGCGTTAGAAATCGTCGATGCGACGTTACCGGCTGTTGAAGTGATAGACCATGCGAGAACAGAGCTGCCTTACCATTTTGTGTCGCACTCGGCGTTACCGATAGTTCGCGAAAAACAGGCACGTTATCAACAAGACTTAGGAATCTGTAGTGTCCTAAATCTATGTCGTAGTTGACCGTTCGTCGGCGTAGATGTCGCGCGCGTAGCTCGCGTTGTACACCTTGAGAGAGACAGGTGGGAATGCGAGAACGGCGATCGCTATAAGCGACAAGAGGGAAAGAGAAAGAAACGGAGAATGGAAAAGAGGAAGAGAACGAAGGGGGAAAAAGAGTTGAAACTTTCGTCGGGAAGGGAAGCGGAACGCGGTGTGGAATAATGGCGGGCGCGAAAGTGTCATCGAGAGACCGTCAAACCCAGAATTAACTAGAGTCTGAACGGACCGCTTCTCTTCCGATACTTTCCTGACACCACTGTCAATAAGTAGGATCCAGTAGCACTTTACAAATGGTCGTACTGTTCGATTTACCCCATTCATTTACCTTGTATTTTTATACCAAGGTGGCTCACGGAAGAACGCTTGTTACGAATGGTACATATGTATATGTATGGTATATTACATATTACGAAACGGTTAATACATAGTAGTGGGGAAGGTATCTATCTGTTGGCAAGCTCGGAAGTAGCCGCCACAGGAGGTAACAGAGGCGACGCTTACAAAAAATCTTTGATGTATTAATTCTTTTGTTATATTAACCGTTATTACATATAGAAACCCATTTTATATAGAAACTACAAAATGATCGCCTAAATAAATAATTTCTTTATTATTGTTTTCCTTTTCTTTTTTACATTTCATTCATTCATATTTTATACATTTCAGTTTACTTCGCTCATAACCGGACCGCAAATTTATAACAAAAGTGGACAGATCAAATGCAAAATGGCAAAAACATTTTAGCAAAAAGAATTTAAAAGTAGTGCTGTAGTAAACGACTATGTACTTCCAATGTCCTGCAATTAATGCGGACGATTTTTATTTTGCCAAAAAATCCGCGGTCTATTTATAAAAAATCTTCCCATTTTTAAACGAATCCGCGACGATTAATGACGTCAGGGACTAAGTACTATAATCCGTCGCATGGTGTGCACGAGTCGCATGGTGTTGTGACGTCATGTGGTCCCTCCACCGCAGGGGCCGATTCTGGTCACACTGGGCCGCCATGTTACCGTGTCGTATTGTGTCTTGTGTCTACTTGTGTCGTATCAGATAGTATCATGAACGTCGAGTAGCTCTTACGGAGCACCTTTCGAGTTTGCGACAACGTTCAGACGATCGAGCGAATGGTTTCCGCGGAACTGGACCAACAGATCGAACCGACCGAAAGTATAGGTAGAATATTCGCTGGTGTTATAACCTCGTCGAGTAGGCGAGTCGCAGTCACACAGCCACAGCTACGGCCACACCGTCGACGGAATTTGACTCGCGTCAGATTTACAGAAGACGATTGGCTGTTGGATTCGTTTTCCAGTGTGCAATAGACAGGGAACGTGGAACGCCTGGTCGGCGACGAGTGTACGTCAAAGTAATTGAAACGAGCGGTGTTTGCAGATGGTTCGAGTGCGGGTCGCGTGTGTCCGCGGAAGAGAATGTCGGGAAAATCTCGATGATCGCTGGTCAAGCAGAATAATGCGTTCGAAAAAGAGACTGATCGTTCGCCGAAAAACTGCCGTTCGCGGCTAGCGCGTTCGTCAAAAATCTGGTCGCCCGACGCGTTCATCTTTGGTTCGTTTGTGCACATCTGGGCCAGATGAACTTTATAACAGCTCGGAGCCATTCGGGGGAAAGCAAAGGAACGAGTGCAAATTTCCTGGGACAAGTGAGTTGATTGCTGCATCAGGGAAGGCGACGAGGTAACCAGTAACCACGGAGGCGCTGCGAGCAAGCACTCGATACGCTTTCGTTACTCTTTCTACAGAAGGTGTGCGTGTGCCGCTTGCCCTAGGTGCAGTCCTGTTTTCGCTTCTCTCCCTCTCGCTACCTGCTCTCTCTTTCTCTCCCCTACCTCTCACCCCCCATTCACCGCGCTTACAATCACCCTTCTCAATCAGTCGTCTCCCTTTATATATTTATTATATTATATTATATTATAGAATTTCTTTTTTAAATTTGTCACTTGCCGTGCCACAGAACGATATATTAAGGTTATTTATCCGTAGAAATCAACGAATTGGTCGATTCGCCGATACGATATCGATATCACGATTGCAGGCACTAGTGCGTTTTGTTTCTTTTTTTACGCAAACAAGCCATTAGACCGAAATGAAATAAGTTTAACGTAAAGAGTAAAAAGTAAAAACATAAATTGATCCAGAGAACTGCAAAATAGTTGATGCAGGAAGCTACAGAGTCGCCATAATTGGTCCCGGTGAACAGCGAATAACACGGAAAATAGTAGAGTCATGTATTTTGATAATCGCGGTACCACGGCTCGACCCACGTTTATATTTAGACGTTTCGAAAGCCTGTTCAATTTCGCGCGTAACTGCGCGCCATCGTTTGTTCCGTTCAAGTTACGGTAATCGAACCGGGGGTTCCTCGATTACTCGAAAAGTCGAGAATGCTGCTCTGGTCAGACAGAGTACGATAGCTAGAAAGTCGATGCCGAAAGGATTGCCGATGATAGAAGATAGAAAATGGCGTTCGTTGACACCGACGCGAGAAGTACGAAAGAGAAGAGAATGTATAGAGGCGAAGTTAAGATAATCGTGGTACACGGGTTTTCAATCGTACCATTTTCTATTCGCGATACCGCTCGTGAAGTATGTCCCGAACAATAAGATGTTATAAATTTCAGAGGCGTTGATTTATATCGGCTGTGGGGCACTTTTAACACCGCCTGTTAAAAATTTGATAGATCGGTTTCCGTTCGGCGCGAGAACGGTTCGGGGTCGAGTGATATGAAAAAGAAATTTCAAGAAAATGATCTCGAGTCGTGAATAATATCCACAAAGTATGTCGAGACGCAGAGAAAGTAGATTGGTTCGCTCAACTTTCCGCCACCCGACCCATTCGTCTGTGCGTGCACACGTATGTATATTAAAAAGCACACTGATGTAACATAAATAATAATTGTAAGTAATCCGACATAATTGCCGCGCGACATCGTAAAAATGTGCACGCGAAACCACTGATCGAAATATAATACATAGTTTTGTTGCTCGCATTAAGATTCGGATTCGAGCGCGCTATTATAGACAGATTTTTGCGTAATAGCTGTTTGAAATTTGAATAAATCATTGGACAATTTCAGGAAGCGAACGATGGCTGAAGACCGAAATAATTCTCAAGGGTTCGTTGGACAGGCGCACACGGTACGTAAAACCGAACGATCGTGCCAAACTTTGATTCAGTTTATTTTGGCGAGTATAGTTGAGACAGAGAAAGAGAAAGAATCAGTATCCGTATATCTATATATATTTATTGGTACGTTACTGTCCTGTGTTTTTCGTGTGCAAGTCTCTGCTTCAAACTCTTTGTTAAATCGACAAAATAGACGAAACGAGACGCGTCGTGCTCGTATCGTTGAAACAACGGCGGTAAATGGTATTTCTTTCAGGTAGAACACGATGGTTCGGTTTCAATGTCAGCACCGGCAATGTCGGCCATGCAGTCGGGGTCAGGAATTGTAGCTGTCGGTGGTGGTGGAGGCGGCGGCGGCGGCGGCGGTGGCGGTAGCAGTAGCGGAGGAACCATCGCAAAAATTGGAGATGTTCCACGAGACGATTCCCCGCCACGGGGTCCACGAACTTTGCTTCTACGCCGCGGCGAAAATGGGTTCGGCTTTACCCTTCGTCATTTTATCGTTTATCCCCCAGAATCTTGTTGCGTAAGTATTTGATTTGCGTCGAATCAAGCCCGTACCGCACTCGCATGTACAGTAATGTCTCTCGAATTGACGCTCGGATTGTTCACAGAAATGGACAATTTAGGGAGAGGAGACACGATTATTCGAGCCTTGCGGTTTGTTTTTATAGTTACGAATTGCCAACAATTATAATAAAAACGAGCCGCAACGCCTGAATAATCGTATCTGCTTTTCCGAAATTGTCCATTTTTGTGCACACTCTGAGCGTCAGTTAGGGAGACATTACTGTAAACACGTAAAACGGAATACGGAACGCGAACGAATGCTAATAGGTAATTGACGGGAATTATTTTCGTCAGATGTTACCGGGGCACGAGAGGGCGAGAATCGAAGAGCCGATGGACACGATATTCGTGAAGCAGGTGCGCGGAAATTCTCCGGCATCCGAAGCAGGATTGCGTACAGGTGATCGAGTAGTTTCCGTTGACGGTAAAGCGACGCGCGGTGAACAGTACGCGAAGGTGGTGCAGCGTATCCAGCAAGCAGGACCATGGCTACGGCTGCTGGTGGTCTCGAAAGAGGATGACATTTTGCAGAGATACTTTGGTGAAACGGCTCATAATCCCGAGACGAATCAACGACCGCGGCTGCGTTCTCCCGAAAGGAGCACCGGCCAAAAGCAACGTAGATCCGTTAGCATGATCCCTGGTTTATCCCCGAGAACCAGGCAATCTTGGATTTGTTCCGCGCCAAGTTCGATGCAATGCGAGACGGATCGACCGATCGACGATGGTCTCTCTTACCGGGATCAAGATGCGCGATCGACGGAATTTTTCAAGGAAAACCAGCAGAAACATTCAAATGGGAAAACGATCTCGCAATCACCGTCCCAAACACAGTCGACATATCATGCTAAACCCTTTCAAGGAATAGCAGCTCGTTCCGATTCGATCGACGAGAAAGTATTATTACGAAATCAACAGCAACAACCTATCGACGACGATCTTTCGAAGTCGAGCGATACACATGGCTGCGACAGATACGATATCTATGATAGAACGCGTCCCGTGTCTATTTACTCCAGAACGAATAGCGAACAAATTTACGATAGAATCAAGGATCCTATATACGAACGCGTCGATCCGGAGGAACAGGACCATCACCATCTCCGTCAACATCGCAGTCAGCAGCAACAACAACAGTATTATCCACAAACGCACCAACAGCACTCCGGCGTGGCACGATACCCTCTGTCGCGAGCGGAGCCACAGGTACCCATTTATCGACCATCCATGAGAAGAGTGAGCTCGCGGCGCGCCAGCGAAGGAAGCACCGCTAGTTCGACGATCAACAATTTTCAAGTGACGAGCTACGCCAGCACCGACGCGCTCAGATCATGCGAGCCAGGCTCTAGGAATAGCATCGATTCGGGAAGAGATTCCTCTCCGATTCATTCGATCGACGATCCCTCTCGTTACGATTCCTCCTGTGTCCTCTTAGAGGCCGGAGCGAACGGGAACACGATTGGAGGCGGTAACGGAAGTAGAGGCGAATCGAAGAACGGAAATTCTGGCATCGATGATTCCGTGATCATGACAAGGCTACGAAAGAGTTTCGAACAGAAAGAGGAGTTCTTGCGAAGACCCTTCACCAGTCATTCGATAGGATGGTTTCTATCGGAAGAGAGATGCGAGTCTCCTGTGCGAAGCAACGGCTCGACCACGATACCGCGCGAATTTTACGCGCGACCACAGAAACTTCAGAAACAGATTTGGCCACCGAACGATCCGAAGCAGGAGCGACAGTGTTCGCCGCTGGGATCCAGTCACGATAGAGCCTGGTTTCCCGATAAATTCCCATTGGACAAGGTTCCCTCGAGTTCGCGCAACGAAGAAAGACTGAAACGATCGGAGGCAGCGACCGAAGCAACGAAGATAGAACAACCCGAATATTTCAGTAGTACTCGTTCGTTGGAAGACGGTCGTCTCTGTCCGTCAACCGTTCGCAACGATAGCCAACATCGCGAAGATTCTACGCCGAAAGAAGTCGACAGGCAACAGCAACCGACGCATCGAAGCTCTGCCGCCGGAAAATCGGGTTTCGTCGGTACCCTGTCCAGAATACACGAGAACATCACAAGCGCTGCGGCCCTGCTTTCGAGCGAGCGTCGCGACGCTTCCACGTCTCTCCCTTCTTCGCCGGGCCCGGACAAGAAGACCAACGATAAGCTCCCAACGCTTCCAACTCTACCACTTCCTCAGGGCCTGCAGATCGTGTCGAAACGCGCGAAACAATTCGAATCGGGACGTCTGCTCAGCGACGACGACGAACCGACCGGTGATCGAACCAGCCTCTACAAGAGTGAATTGTCGCGGCTGTCCAGTAAGCGGAGCGTACCAAATGTTGCCGTTCGGAAGAGAGAGTTTGAATCGAAAGCTGAAGCTCAAGAACCACGAAGATCTACCGTAACCACCAGGGAAACGAGGTCGTTAGATGCCGGTAGGTATATTCTTTCTATTTTTTTTTTTTAAATCTTGAATATCTTCTCGAGTCGAAGCTATTCGAACCGCGCCGCTGTGAAATCAGTGAGATGTGCGAGCTCTAGAAGCTTCACTCTTTTGTTGCGATGTATTGATCATCATTTATCATGTATTGATGCGTGAATATCTAGGTAACGGATTAAAAGGGAACAGAATAATACCTGTTGGCAGCAGACGCATTCACTGTGAACCACCGATTGACTCTAAACCAATCCAAGGTAGAAATTGCTTGAATTCAAAGTCGAGTTGATTGAATGTTCTGTTGACCGTTGCTGTGTTACATGTAAAACCGTTAACATTTGTCGTAAGCTTCAAGTTTAAGCGATAACGTTACTCCGACGGAAGCACATTAATCGCGTTCGACATTATTCGCAGCGGTGTGCCTGTGTTCCTTCGGCTAAGTAACAATCAAACGTTTACTAATACGTGGAAGTGTCGTTTGCTTCGATGTAAGAATGATCAAGTTTTGTATTCTACTCGTGCGCATAGAAAGAAGTGTCGGCTGCATTCGTTCGCACTCATCTCATAATCGTCTGCAGATACGTCGAGCCCGATATCGAGGTACACGGATAGCGGAACCTCCTGTGCAAGAGTTCGATGCAACAGCGAGGAATCTTGGGAATCGACGATGGATCGTATACAAACGGTTAGGCACCGATGGCCGCAACGTCAGGAGGATTCTCTAGGGCGAAGGCAGCACAGCCGTGACAAGGAAAACGACAACGCGGTCGCGAACGAGAAAGATCCAGATCAGGATAAAGTTAAAGATATGGAGAAGGCGGACTCTTACGCGAACACGACGGATTCGAAAATCACTGATCACGGTTGGTACACTCTTTGCCTGTGCTCCTATCCTACTTCAGCTATTGGTCGGTGATTTCAATTCGATATTTTGTAGGTTCCGCGGCGGGGACGGATGACAGCGTACACGGCAACGAAGTTGTGTTCAGACGGCAGAAGAATGTGCAAACTGGTAAGAGCAGAAGATCCGTGAAACTTTAAAATCCGTGAAACGTAGTGATTCAATGTTCAACTATCGACAACGTTGTTTTTAGCCGACGAAGATCGCGCCACAAGGAGGGTTTCGTATTTGAAAGCAACTTGGGGCGAACGAATGCACGTCGACAGTGATTTGGATTTGAGCGATTCCGAACCTATTCACACGTCAAGAATGTAAGTTATACACACTATGAGAGAGAGACAGAACGAAGTTTGGTCCAGGTTTTACGCGTAGTTCTCGCGTGTTCCCCCCTTCGTATTTCGTTTCTCAATGCGGTAGCTTGCACCAGCGCCTCTCAAGTACTGCCTCCGTCCGTATTTTCAGCGGTCATAAGAGATGGCGGCTATCGCTGATCCCAAACGATATAGCATCTCTGCGGCGCATCTTCGAGGACATGACACAGTCGGTGTCTTTGAACAGAAATAGTTATCGGTGAGGATAGTACATGTTGAGCTAAGCACGAAAACATTTAACAATTCGTTTTTCCATTGCCTGTTGCTCTTATATAGTTCAATGTTTTCGTTACATCCTCTCGTATTTGTTAATTGTCGTCCTTGTCGTCATTGTCTTCGCAACGTTGTTCAAACGATACTCCTTGCGTCTTGTGTCGCCTTTGTACTTCCCTTGATTTGAAATGATTTAACAGTTTCAAATATCGTCGCTAACAAACGTCTAGCGATTCAACATATTCCATCCAACTGACTGTTTACGAGTTGCCAATTTGGTCCCCTACTCGGTAGTATGTTCTGTTAAATAATATTCTAACGATCAGTAATCCCGATTGGATCGGATCGCGCGAGCAGGATCAACGATCATGTGTGAAACTGGAATTTATACAATGCGTTTTGCAGGAGCACGTGCACTGGTCAGGAGACGACCGACATGGCCAAAGACATCGTTGAGCAAGTTGAGCGAGAGGGTCCGTTGCATGTAAAGTTCACGGTGCTCGATGGCAAGGTAAGTAAACGCCATTAGACACGAGCACGGTCCATTTTTCTGTGTCTGTACATCTAAATATCCATTTTGTTGATGTTTCAGAGATCTTCCGATCGTTCGTGGAAACAAGTTTGGGGCGTGCTTCGCGGACCGATCCTCTGCTTTTACAAGGATCGTCAAAATCAGGTGAGTTGGCTCAGTACTAATCGTGAACGGGTTTTGACAAGTTCGCAAGAACGGATAATTATGCATTGTATGATATCAATGTTTAGAGTCCTTCGTTGGCTAGCGATGGTGAAGGCGTAGCGCAGAGTGTGGACGTCAGATGTTCCTTGGTGGATATCGCGGAGGATTATACGAAGCGTAAACACGTACTACGTTTGGCGAATCCCAGTGCAGAAGTTTTATTACAAACCGAAGATGCCGCGTCTATGGCTCTCTGGCTACGGTCGCTACACGAGAACGCCGCCGCTGAAAAGCCATCCGTAAGTCTGCAACTTTGTTAACCGTTGCGACGAATAACTTCGACTAATCACGATCAATTATTACAGGAGATGGCGTACAATAGTAGCTTGAAGCAGCAAGCTGTACCGCAAACTCCGGGTCCTACCAGCAGTAGCAGCGGTAGCGCGACATATCAAACGACTAGCGGTAGCGCCAGTGGTGCGATCGTGCTATCTAACAGCGGTGGTATCAGTGGCGGCAACGGTAGTGGCAACGGGCAAAGATTGAGTCCTCTTCCTGGACACAAAGGCATCAAGAAGCTGACCTCGTTCAGAAATAGATCTCCAACCGGTCAGTTACCTATCAACAAGACGCGAAAATCGAGCCAAACGATCGAAAGTTTAGTTTCTCCGAAAACGAAGACGTGGAAGGGTAGGGTTGCGAAACAACTGCGAAGAATGCACGGGCAAACTGGACCGCCTTCTTCGCCGACCACTCAGCTTCCACCCGAGGGTGCTACCTTTAAGGTACCGCTCGAACTGTGTCCACCGGTAAGTAATTATTCAGACTTATTTCCTTACTTACTTACTTATTTATTTACCTGCTTACTTACTTTTATCGCTTTCTGCGCAGTCAACGTTCTCGGAATACGTACCTTTGATCGTTGAAATGTGTACGAGCATCGTCGAGGCGAGAGGCCTGGAGGTTATCGGTATTTACAGAGTACCTGGTAACACAGCGGCTATTTCGCATCTGACCGACAGTGTGAACAAAGGATTTGAGAATATTAATCTGCAGGTACGGGGCGCCGGTTGTCGATTTGATCCGATCCGATTGGACGCTTCCGGATTTTTTCATCGATTTGTTTTCTTCTATTTCTTCCAGGATCCCAGATGGAGCGACGTGAACGTGATATCATCCCTTCTAAAATCCTTCTTTCGACATTTGCCTGATTCGTTGCTTACGGCGGAATTGTATCCCATGTTCATCGATGCCGACAAAGTCGAAGATCCGCAGAGAAGAATGACAACGATACGAAAGTTACTTAGAGATCTTCCGGAACATCATTTCGAAACATTGAAGTACTTGATGTTCCACCTGAAGAGGATAGTCGAGCACAGCGAGATCAACAAAATGGAAGCGAAAAATTTAGCTATCGTTTTCGGCCCCACTTTGGTTCGTGCGAGCGGTTCCAGGGACAACATGGTTACCATGGTCACGGATATGTCGCATCAGTGCCGAATCGTCGAAAGCTTGTTGAACAACGTAAGCACTTTATAGTTTGTATTCTCCCAAGATAATTGCCTATTCATATTATTATAATAATTTCTATAATTTATATTCTTATAGGTGGAGTGGTTCTTCTCGGACGACGATTTGGACGATCTGAGTAGGCTGAGCGTTAATCTTAGCCTTCCGGCCGATACGAACGAGATAGACACAACATCAAGCAATAATCATAGCCTTCTATTGAACAATATCCAAAAAGTTGAAGGTACGTATTGGGTGGCAGAATTTTCGCGATTTCCAACGTATCGTCGCGCTTACGTCGATCGGCCCCTGATCGTACGTTTTGTTGGTTGCTACGGCAACAGGTGTTCGAGAAATGGCATCCGCGAAAGATATTGTTTCGTCGATCATATCCGCTGCCAACCGTAAGATACAAAGACGAAGGAAAGGACAGGACGAAACGGACAACGATAATCATGAATTGGACAAGGTTCGTGGAATCTCGGTGGGTTGCGTTTCCAATCGATCTTCTTCGTTCGATTGCAATCGAATCGTTACTGATGTTGGGAAATGATTCTTTCACAGTCGAAATCTAAGCAGGAAACCGAGAGTTTGGCCAATCGACGAAGCATGGCGTTGAACGAACGACAGTGTTCGGTCAGTGAGATCGTTTTGATGCACGAGAATAAAAATCAACCGAGTCGTGGCACGGATCGGTCGGCGACGGTCGACGTGGCTGCGATGGATATGGTTGTCGGAGGTGGCAGCGTCGAAGGCGTTGGAGGCGTCGGTGGTAATGATGACGGTGACGGTGCAGGGGCCGGTGTCGTGACAATGTCGGATTGCGACCGTGTTGGCAACGTGGCGACGGCCGATATTGTGAGCAGCAACGACGACGGCATTCCATTCGAAAGATCGAGAAAATACTCGTTGATGAATCCCGCGATGACTACGATAGAATCGCTCGAACCGACTCGTCGCTCGGCCGTCTCGTCGGCATCCGAGTCGTCGCGACTCTCTAGCGAGACTGGCTTGAGCTGCTTCGACGCAAGCTCTGTGATCTCGAGCGTCTCGAACGAGACGAAACAGAGCAACGACGAGATCACAATAAGAACGTATGCTGGATTGAGCGCAACCACCCAAGAACGAATACGGAGGTTCGAGCAAGAGACGAAAGCGATGCTGCAACGAGATCAGAATCGGCAGAGACGGGAAGCCGAAAAGAGAGAGGAGGAACGACGAAGAATCGAGATGGAGTGGCAGCTGGCAAAACGCGAAATGGAGAACGACGACCTACTCGATAGCATAGTCGACACCACCGTGGCACCCACCTACTTCGCCGCGAATGCTCGACTTTCCGCTTTCAACGACAGGCTAGCCGACAAGTCTTACCTTGATATTGGATCGCTTCTCTCGACGGGTCAGATACCTTCTCTCTCGATAGCGGTACAACAGCAACCTACCAACGGCGCGAGACGTTTTGCGCAACAGCACAACGACGATTCGATGCCAACAATTTTACAATCTACGACGCAACCGACGCCGCCGTCGCCACCGCCGCCGCCGCCAACGCCGACTCCGACTCCAACCCCGCCACCGCCGCCGCCACCATCTGACAACCTTACCGATTCCATCATCAAAAAGTTGAAAACGGACACAGAGGAGGTAAGATCGCGGCGATCGTTCACCATTCGAAACTTATTCCCATGGTTTTCCACGGTTTCACAGCCGGCGTTGGAAGCATCGCCGGTCCCACCGGCTCGATACGGAAGCTTGGACTCGCTGCACGAGACGAACGATCTTTCTCGCTCATCGTTCTCGTCCTCGATACACCAGCAACGAAAACAACCACTTTCGAGCGACGTTTCGGATGATGGTTAGTATAGTATTCTACGAACCACTTGATCAAAACTACGATTCTATCAATGTTTACGCGTCGACACGGTCGATCTTCATTCGACACCGAAATCCAATCTATTCCATCTTCAGATCCTCCGTACTTTCTGTCCAGACGATTTAATTATCGCGTCCGCCGCCATTTTCCCTCGCAAAATAGTCCTTGTTACCTATTCATGCCGTGTTTAGTATTCACAAAATTCCGACGTTCCCCTCGATTTAAACATAGATATTATTGCGATAGAAATCTATACCTCTATCTAATTATATCTATACATGCATAGTAATCGTTCCGCTTAAGCACATCTATTTACGACTATTCTCTTTATATTTTTCTCCTATGTAATGTCGCTTCCGACGATCGGTGAGTGTAGGCGGATCTTGTTTTCTACAATGGACTCAGAAGATTCTAACTATTAACAAAAAGCTTTCTAGGTACTTGAACGTAATTTCTTCCTTTTTTACTTTTTGAAACGACTCTTACGAGCTCGGTTGCCCGTTGTACGGTAGATGCATATTATTCTTACCACGTTTGGTTCGCGTGTTCTATCACAGAAATTTCGTCTTCCGTTTTCTGTTTTCTTCTTTCCTTCTCTTTCTTATTTCCTATTTCTTTCTTTCTCTCCTCTTTTCTCTATTCACTGTTCTCTTTTCTCATTTCTTTTTTTGTTCTCTTGTTCTCACTGTTGTACTCGCCACCTGTTAGCATCCTTGTTTCTTCTGCTTTGCGAGAACTTGATAACGGAGCGTTCGAACGATGAAGCATCGAGCACCGCACCGCATTCGATTATACTGGTATTGTAGTTTGAGCACGCTGCAGCAAATTCATTTGTTCGAAATGTCTCCTTCAGCTTGCACACGGTCGCGAGTTCACGCGAACGAACGAACAGCGTTGGCCACATCGTTCGGACAAGATTCGCGATTTGAGATGAGAAGATGAGTAAAATATATCTCGTTTGAGACTGAACGATGATGGTGTGCATGCGATGTTTCGATAAGTGTCACTCTTCTCTGACCGAGCTTGGTCGTTGCGTGCACCCGCGAGTGCATTTCAAACAACCGGCTGGCTAGCGACTGTTGGTAGGTCTCTTCTTCTTTTTTACGACCCAGGCTCGGTCTTGCCTAAAAGCCTTACACTCGCAGCAAATTTTCTACACCATAGCGATTTAGTATTTTCACTTGTTCGAAGTCCGCGAAACGATTAGTTGACCGCATGCGTGCTTGATTGCTCGATCTTGACGTTGTTTCCGAGCTTACCTCCTGCTCGTTCTTCATACGAATCTCGCCTAAAATTTCATATCTCTATCGTGTACGATAGAACATAGCCGACCGGTTATTCCTCAACGATTATTCTCTGCCGACCTGTTCGTACACTTTTTTCTCTTCCTCCGATGTCTCTGTTTCTTCGAATACGGAGAAGAGGGTAGACAATATGCGAACGGGGTTGTGCGAGATGTCCAAGGAGGGCAGGAGAGGAGACTCGAGACGCTAAAAGAAATTTCGGTTCAGTGTTTGTTTGCCCGCTCGTTTATTCGTTTGTTCGTTCGTTGATTCGTTCGTTGGTTTGTTGGTTGGTTGAGTCGCTCGTTCGCCACTGACAACAACCGTTAGCTCGTGTTTTCCGGACGTCGATGATGACGATGCAAATACGTTGAACACTTAGGCAAACGGCAAGCCCCGGCTTTTGGTGGTACATATCGTCCCACCTTCACGGTACTACCACCGCAGCCACCAGTGGTTCCACCTCGAAGACTCAGGATCCACCGTCCATACAGATGCCAATGCCAATACCAATACCGATGTCGATGCCAATGCCAATACCAATACCAATGCCACTGTCAATGTCAATGTCAAGGGCAATGCCCGTGCCCGTGCCAATGCCAATGCCAATGCCAATGCCAATGTCGATGTCAAGGCGAATGCAAATGCCGACGGGGTCAGTGTCAGACGAGGTCGGCGTCGATGTCGTGCAACGATCGTCGATGTCCGTCGCATCCTTGCCAAGAGTACCACCGGCCTCGGAGCCCTCTGAACTCGCGGAATCTAACGAGATCGTCGAACAATCACGCCGAAGGGTCTCGGGCTCAGGGGCCGGATTGTCTTCCAAGACTTTAAACAGATTCCTTCGAGGTAAATTGCTTGGCTCGCAGCCTGGAATACCAAGTCGCAAGCAACTCGAGCGCTAATAAACCATTCGAATGAACCTGGCTCACCCGAATGGCTTTTCACACTGTTTTCGTTACCGTTATGGTGTTTCTTTTACTTTTACTGTTACTTTTTCTTTTTCTTCTTCTTCTTCTTCTTCTACTTATTTTTCCACTTTTTTCTTTTTAATTTTACTTGCCCTTATTCCTCCCTTCTATGTCACTCTCTCTCTTCCTTCCTATCTTTGTTTTGTTTTCGTTTTTACTCCGAGTGCACGCCTAGCCACTGTTGCTGCTCCTTCGTTCCGTTTTGTTTTTTTTTATTAATTTTCTTCCTTTTCTCTTTTTCGGTCCCGTTCGCTTTCTCATCTCTGTCGACGCGTTTCCTCGATCATAAGATCTACTCGGTTGTCATTAAAATTAATTCTACCGTGGATCTCCTACCAGTAATCCCACCAAAATCCACAGACCTCTTGTCGAAGGGGAATTATCGCCACTTATCTCGTAGAGATACCAATGTCCGTTTTGTTTCGTTCCGATCGACGATTTCGTTCAATCGACAATCCGTTCTCGCGCTTTGGATGCTTCTGTTTCGGGTTTTTGTTTTCTTCTTTTCATTTGTGTCCTTTGTTTCTAATTTATCTTGACGAGAAGTTTAGTCGTTGTTGAATCGCGATTTGTTTTCAGCGTGTAACGTCTAGAAAGGAAAACTCGCAGCGTCGTTTATAGAACGCTCTTACCACTATTACTGGAACGCGTTTATACCAACATCATGGTACGGCCTCTGCAGCTATTTTACCTTGCTCGCTCAAGCCTCTCTAACAAATGTTTCTGTTCGTTTATCGACGAAACAAGTTTGCGTTTGCTGTTGCGCTCTCTCAATCGAAATGTTAATGTTTGTTCGAATAATGTTTTATAACAGCCAGAACACCAGCGACAGCACTGTCATTTCCACCGTTACCATAATCACTACCACCACAAACACTAGCATTACCATCACCACCATCACTACCATCACATTATTTTAATCACGAAACAATGCTTTACGCGCCTTTTGTTGGATCATTTGCTTCCAACATATACAAAATGATTTGACGCGATAACTCTGCCCGATCAAGGTATGCCTTTCGAATTAAAATGACGATGATACGTTTACAGGTAGTGATCTGTTGACTAGCTTGACGACAACATTTGATCGGAAATGGAAATCCTTGGTAAATTCATCGAATCATAGCGTTCGCGGATCTGGCACGGAAAACGCGTCCATCAGTGACGAAGACATTGTGGGAACAAGGGACTCGCCCGTCACTGCGAGGCACCTGCAAGACGTACGTGAAAAAAGGAATGAACGAAAACTCGCGAATCCTGTTCAACCGGTGGATCCCAGTTTAGTAGAGACTTATCGAGATCCGAGTTTGCACAAGTCAAGCTTTCAGAAACACCAACATGTTCGCCAAAAAAATGTAAGTTCTTTGCCACTGGCTTGTATCGATACATTATAGTAATATGTAATAGATGAGTGATATTATTTTTGGGTTGCAGGATATCCCGGAAAAGGATACAGATTGTTCGGTAACGGCAACCTGCAGTGCCAAGAGACTGGAGACCGACCAAGTCAAGAACCAAGATAAGGAACACGACAATGACAACATACCCGATAACGATCGAAGCGCGATTGCCCGGCGAAGGATCGACTCGAAACAGGATGAACCGCGATCGTGCAAGGAGGCGGACGAATCGAGCGACATGCAGGAATGCTGCAGACTCGCTGGCGCATCGCAAAAGGATGGCAACGCGACGATAACGCGAGAAACGCGAGACGGCAGGTCCGTTCCCGACGATGAAAAGTATTTTCATTACGACCTCGTCGACTCCTCTGATCCGAGTTACACGAACAAACTAGAAAAATTTGAAAGTATGACGACAAATTTGGAAGTTCGGTCACGGCTAAAGAGATCAGAGTCGTTGAACAAAAGATCGGAGAACACTTGCTCGAAATTGAAGAGATCGGAAAGCTTGAACAAGCATTCGGCCGAGCGACTGCAAATGTCGTCACCGACGAGTGGCAAATTAAAGAGATCCGAGAGTTTGAACAAGCACTCGGAGAGGTCCGACTCGCCGAACAGCAAGCTGAAACGATCCGAATCGTTGACAAAGACTGAAAAGACGGAATGCAATATCAGCAAGAAACGGCAGTCGGTTCGTAAAGACAGCGCGACCAAGTTGAAACGAAAAAACGGCATGCCGGAACGATCGATTAAGCGAAGACACACGGTTGGCGGCACGAAAGATTTCGACAAAGTGCACTGGCTGGACAAGCTGCAAACGGAAACCGAGAGGGTCGCCAGAAACGAGTACAGACCGAAGAAGAGCCAGTTGAGAACGAGCTCACCCGATCTGAGCACTGGCCGTATCGGTGCTCTCACGGACGCTAGTTTCCTAATCGAAGTCAGTTTTCGCGGGCCGAGCAACGTTGTTTTCAACGTCGCGACCAACGCTCGACCGCAGTCTTTGCCGGACACCAGTTTAGCCTCCAAAGTCTTTAAAGTTCCCCTCGAAAGCCACGTTTAATTGAATCGTTCAATGATCGCGCGTGCTACGATACCTCTAGCCGCCCGAACAACTCGATCTACGAGGCTATGAAAGTAGCGAACCTTGGGGGCTTCGATCGTCCGCCCATCCGCATTTCTCCTTTTTATATTTTACCTTATCCGTCTCTACTTCTGGCCAAGCATTTACATCTCAGCGCGTCAATTATAATATATATACAATTATATATTATATATACGAGTACAATTATAGAAATGTACGCATCGTACTTGCGAAATGTGATCGTGTGCAATCTTTTCTGTATATAACGTTCAGTCGCGTGAAGCGATGTGACCGTACAACGACGCCGTCTTTGTATTTTTTACTAATCGATCGAGAAAGACTCGAAGAATCGTTATTATATTATTCGAAAGTAGACTTTCCTTGTTAGGAATAATCGATGACGTTACCGCGATTCACAATGCACCAATTCTATCGGAAGCGATACCGGTTGGTTCCTTTCTTCTTCGAACAAGTATTACCGATTAGCGATTGCTTTCTTCTCATTTAAACAATCCACGGTGGATTCGATCCAACGTTCATAATGGCCGATACAATTATGGTCGATCAAGTTTTTCGAACGCGGTGCGAATGCGAATGCGAATGAAAGTGCGAATGATGATGTGAATGGAAATGTGAATGGAAATGTGAATGGAAATGTGCGAATGATAATGCGAATGAAAATACGAGTGCGAATGATAATGCGAATGAAAATACGAGTGCGAATGCTAGTGCATGCTTAACTACCGCTAGTTTGTTGCTTGCGCGAGCGTGTCACTTCTGTAGCATCTTTACGTGTACAAAAAGAGTGCGAGAAGTAACAGCCAACGATTAAGTGGTATTTATTTCCGGTTCGTAACACCCATGATAATGTTATTTATTAAATGTATCGCGAGTCGACTAATTGAACAATTCAACATTACATGCATCGCGAGAACATACTCGCATGCTACGAATTTGTAAATAAAACTTACGTATTAACAATTGAAACAAAACATTGTGTCCGATAGACCCACATTTCCAGGTACCCGTCGTTCGTTCGAATTTGGCCAACAGGCGGACAGGTGGCGTTACTTGCGAAGTTTGCAATCGTTCGAATCGAACGGTTCGATCCAGATGTCCATGTTCAATCTTAGATATTGACCGTCGAACAGATCAGTCTCTGTGAACGTTATCACTGCTTATTGTTTCCCTCGATCGTGGAAGTATGAACGTGATGCGAACAGACATGCCGTTTCGACCACCGAGAGGGAGGCCGATGAATCAAACTAGAACTCGCGACCAACAACCGTTCGCCGTACCTTTTCCAACAGAATATCGTGCGTATCGGTTTCCTTCGATACCTTCGAAGCTAGCATCGTTTGCATACGCGCGCAAAACTGTCTTTGCTCACAATTACGTACATTGAATGTTGCGCGTCGTATTTTTGTCTAGAATCGAAATTAAACACGAACAATAGGCCAGCAACAAATTGGAGATCGACGAGTTCGAGTTACTCGAGAAGCTCGAATCGTGGACGAAGCGTAGGCAGAACTCGAGGCTCAACGTCTTCTTTCTTAGCTGCCGGTTCACGCAACTATGCTTCAAGGTAACTGAAACATCTGAAATTTCTTGAGAAATATATTTATTTATAATATATATTTATTAATAATATATTATATATTAATATATAATATTACATATTAATAATATATTATATATTAATATATAATATTATACATTATAATAATATATTATTAATAATATATATTTATTTATTTATTTTTATTTCTGCGTTGGTTACACCCGGTCCCTTTAGATCCGGCAAAAGCTCGAAAACCACCCCAGCGATTGGTTCGAGCACGATTGAATCCGGCGGCGTGATTGTCGGTGAGTGTCCCCCTTCGATTCTCTTGGATTCTCTGGCGAATTGAGGATACGCGTACATATAGGAATACATGCACGGATTATTTCAGCGGTGACAAGTGGTCGAGGGGATGCGAGGGCCGAAGTAGGAATGGCCGCGTTGGATATCCGATGTCCGCATTTGATTCTCTGTCAGATCTGCGACTCCCAGACGTACACGAACACCCTGACCAAATTATACGTGTTCGATCCGATTCAAGCAAGCATTTTTCTCTTTTAGTCCAAGTGACCAGAATTCGAACGATTCTAACTCTAGCGCTCTCGACGCGGCTTGCAGGTTTTAATGCCGGACACGATGTGCGAACGCGTCGCCGACAGGAATATACTTCACCGTTTGATCGTCGACAAATTTCCGGAAATGCAACCAACACCGATATCACGAATGCATTTTAACGACACGATCGGATTGGAACGGTTGCGAACCCTGTGCGCCGCGGAATATTCGTCCGTGGAGCTCTTTGTCAAGCACAAGTACATCTCTGCGTGCACTTCTTACGCGTCGCTTTTATCGTTACAGTATTCTCTCCATAATTGTCAAAAAAAGATTTCTCTCATAATTGACAAAATTCTCACACCCTAAGTTTCTCTTACTTCTCCAATTGCTATACTTCTCTACAACAAAAATGTAGTACCTCTACCGTAACTGTCGCTCGTCCGACTCGAAATTGTAACTGTTACGGAGTGAATACTGTATCCCGGTGTCACGGCATTACGGTATTCTGTTCGCAGGTATTACGCGTTAGCCGCGGCCGCTGCTCTGCTGAAGTACGTTGAATTTTCCCACCTTATTATCTACTCACCGAGATCGATGCGAATTGAATTTCAAGGATCGCCAAATGCCACCAGCATAGGTAAGTTCGAAGAGGCATCGACGAGAGGGACAGCAATTTCAATCGTTTCTCGATCGAACGATAGATCTGGAGAGCGCGCGAAGCTTGGAGTTGGTTCAGTCGCAATCCGGTCAACGAAATCTTAGCTTGCTGGGAATCCTCGATCGTTGTTCGACACCGATGGGCAGGAAACTGTTGCGTGCCAACATCTTGCAACCTCTATGCGAAGAGCGCGCGATCGTTAACCGGCAATCTTCGATCGCCGAGCTGGTAACGAATCGCTCGTTACGAATTATTCTTCAGGTAGAGCATGTTTATCGACTGTTTAGCCGACTCGGAAGCGCGTTCCAGCTGATGCGTACTTCTTTAAATTGCTTTACAGCCGCTCGTACGCCGGCTTTACGGCGCGGACAGATTGGCCGGCCTGTCGACGGCGTCCATTTCCCATGAAAACAGCGTGCAATGCGCGGAGCAAAATTTGAACTATGTGCTTCTTTTGAAAAACATGTTGGACACCGTTCCGGAGCTCGAGAGGGCCCTCGAAGATGCCCAGACGGATCTTCTGCGACAAATCCGAAAGGTTTCTGCCCACGAACGACAAACTTAAGCTTTCCGGGACTTTCAACGATTTTGAACTCTTGTCAATTTCTTAGAGATTGGAGAATCCTCGATTTCGGTTAATGAGGGAACGGATCCTCGAAACGATACATCCGGACGCGAGATTCGTGGTAGGATACACGTCGTCGAACATGCAACGTTGCTTCGCCATCAAGGCAGGGATCAATGATTTATTGGACATAGCTCGACGAACGTACTGCGAGTTGATCGATGATATGAAATGTGCGTCGAGCGGCCAAGTAGAGAAACTATTAACATTCTCCGGGAATACGATCATTGTAACGTGCAGATCGTTTTCTGCGCTTACTGATTTATTCGTTTCATTTCCATGTCCTGGCAGCCATGGTGGACAGTTTGGCGTCGAAATTCAAACTGCCTCTTTCGCTGGGATGTAACGGGACAAGGGGCTACCATATCCAAGCGATTCCTCCGCGAAACTCGAGCGCGGAAACGTGGAAATTTCCAACCGAATTTATCGAGGTATGCGCCAGGTTTCTTCGCTCCGATTATACCTATATCTCTCCACTTTGACGATTGCGTTCACGATTAGTTCACACGTTTACGATTAGGTGCAGAAAAGCAGGCGAGCTTACACGATGACCACGACCGTGCTCACAACCTTGAGCCAGCAGTGCAAGATCGCTTCCGAAGAATTGCATTTAATGAGCAACGTGTAAGTATTCGAGTACATGTTTCGTTGCGCGTTGGAAAGCGCAGCGTGCAATCACGTGTTGGAAACGCCAATGCCTCTATTTCTACCTGTATGCACCCTACCCAACGACAGGCTGCTCTGCGACTTGCTACAAAGTATTCAAGAATACATCGATTGCCTGTTTCAATTGAACGACGACGTGGCAGAGCTGGATGTAATAAGTTCTCTCGCTCAAACGAGTTCCCTTCATGCTTATGTCAGGCCAACGTTTGGATCCGAGCTGGAATTACTCGATTCCAGACATCCGGTTTTGGAAGCTTTCGGTATCGACGATCCTGTACCAAATAACGTTGTATGCTTCCGATACAATTCCAACGTTTTAAATCTACAGAATTTTATAATAATATGTTTGCGTCTGTTTACCGTTTCAGAGCGCATCGATACCTTGGAATTTTCACATAATTTCTGGACCAAACATGAGCGGCAAGTCGACTTATCTCAAGCAGATCGTGTTATTGCATATAATGGCACAGATCGGTTGCTTCGTGCCAGCAAAACGAGCGACCTTTCGTCTAACGAATCTGATATTTTGCAAAATAGCTGTCCGCGACGACATAGAATGCAATGCGTCAACGTTCGTTCTCGAAGTTGGTCCCAATTTGTTCGCGTTACATTTATTCTTTATTCCTTTGCTTCTTTCTCTTTCGTTTTAATTTCTGTTTTAGATGAAAGAAGCACAATACATGTTGAGATCGGTCACGTCAACATCGTTAGTTGTTTGGGACGAACTGTGCAAGGGAACTGCTGTCGGAGAAGGTGTTTCGATCGCGTGGGCCATATGCGAATGGCTTTTACACACGACAGCTTTCGTTTTTGTCGCGACACATTTTGCTTATTTAACTAGACTAGCAGTCTTGTACTGCAACGTGACCAAGTGAGCCACTTTTTGAAGCTTTAATTTTATAATATATAATCTTGTATGATCCGCACGGGCACGAAACGTAACCGTTCGGTACTAAACAGATATACATACATAGTTATGGCAATCTGAACTCTCAGGTTTGATACACGAGATCATTAGGAACAGTTTGAAGCTAAGAATGTTAAATTTCAACTATTTCTTAGAAATGCCTGTTGCTTTGTTAGTAATAAAGAGAAGACATGCATGAAAAATATCATGAAATCTGACAATTGAGAAATTAAGAAAATATTCTATATCTATTTCGATTTATATCGTGCAGAAAAAAGTTTATTCATTGTTGGAAAGCCGCATTTCGATTTCATTCAGTTTCATTGCTTTACCTTAAAATACAGTCTATGAACAACTGAATATTAATCTATGAACGACTGAATACTATTCAAATTTATTAAAGAATATTTTGACTGATCGATGCTGGACGAATACGTTTCGTGCCTAGGTGGATTGTATAAATCTACTACTTAGTATTATATATATATCTACTACTACGTATTAATTATGTAAATAAAACAACGCATATCGAGCTATCGATTACGAATTACGAGATTCGTTTTCAATTGTATCAGCCACAGCTTTGAAACGATAAGAGTGCGGGAAACATCACTGGACGACGAACATTCGCACCGATACACGCACACACATCGGCTGAAATTTGGTGTGGCAACCACGAACGATTACGGTATCGTTTTAGCAGAATTGACGGACCTACCGAAATCTGTCACAGAACAAGCGCGAAAATATGCTTCCGAAGAACGAATGGTAGGCACGATTCGCATCTATTCTAAATACCGTGTACTGATCATCTTTCTTCCAAACAGATTGCTGCTAATCAAATTTCAATCGAGACCAATACCTGGGAACACACGTGCTATCGTATCGTCGCTAAAATGTACCAGCTTCTTGAAAGAGAGGACGGGAATGAAAACTCCGACTACAGAGGAATACTCGCCGATTATGTGGAACAGATATCGAATCTTCGAATTCGAGCCTCTAACGAGAACAATGAACACGCGGAAAAGAGAATTGAACCGACAGCGAATAATGCCAACCAAGTTGTCGCAGAAGCAACGACTGACCGATTATACTTAAACGCTCGCACGTCGGAAAGTATTATTAACAATGAACATACGGAAAAGAGAATTGAACTGACAGCGAATAATATTGACCAAGTTGTTGCAGAAGCAACGGCTGACCGATTATACTTAAACGATCGCACGTCGGAAAGTACTATCGATGAAACTCGGTCTCGCCAGAGTATGGCGTCCAGAATAATTCAAGTTTCTAATTCGCCGGATCGTTTAACGCTCGATAACAAATCAGTCGAGAACCAAAGCGAACATTCCCAGTTTCAAAATGATTCCTCTTGCGATCGTAATCTCGACCTCGACGAACGCGACGCATCGCGTCAGCCATCCTTTAATTCAGTCGGGTCCCTGATCTTCCGCTCGTCGTCGACCATGATCGATAATCTGGAATTTCAATCCCCCAACCAATTTGAAAAAACCAACATGTCGATCGACACGTTCATCGACGAGGCGGCAGCCCTGTCCCAGCCGCTTACATCCGTTTCCAGTTCGCTGCCGACGCACATGCCACTAACATCCATCTTAAAATTGTCGAACACGAATCTACACGAATACTGTTTGTCTGATTCCGACTTCGATCTTGATGTAGACCTACGCGACAGATCTCAAACTTTTACTCCTTCTACAGTGCCAATCTTCGAACCGGACGGATCAACCGATCTTACGATTTAGTTAAACTATTTTGATATTTATTACGTGCAATTATTCTTTCGATGTGTATCGAATAATTTTAATTGTAACGTATCGTCAGGTTTACTGAATTTTCTTTCATTTTATTCCGTTCCTTCAGAAAATATTACATGCGCGCATACGTATTTGTGATTTATATAATTCTCTACATTCGCGCTTATAGACTACGATGTAACCGATTTTAGCAATTAAAAGTCTCTTGTTGATTAAACCTCGTTGGTATATATATACTTTTCACGAACAATTTAAGTGATGAAATAATTTTTCGAGCACCGGATAGCATTATTGCAAAATAAATTACCGCAAATATTAAATC